TTTTGATGTACATAAAATACTGTACAGTTGTTTTTTTCACGGTGCTGTTTCTAATGACATCCCCAGATCAGTCCACATTGCCAGCTACATGTAGTTCTAATACTACACTCATACTACTTACAAACATATTATAAGAATTGCATGGATTGACTGAAGAAAAACAAACTTTATTGTAGTATTTTGCACGTAGTATACCATTCATTATATTCACTCAGCAACATTGGGATATTCTGATTAAAAGACTAACAATTTTTGTAATGAAACTTTGAGATGAAAAACTTGTAGATGGTAAAAAAAAAAGTTCACCTAGGATATATTTTCAAGACTTTCCTTTGTATTGTTAGTAGAACTTTGCCTTTTCAATTGCAGAATTTTCTATTTTCCTTGCAGAGCACCTTGCCAAAGATTGCTACACTATTATTCTCTTTTTTATTTGTTACTTTTGACCAGATAATATTATTATCAGTTAAAGATTGATATCACTGAAAGTACATGTTCTGCAAATAAAGGGTTATCAATCAGTTAAATTCTGATGTGAAAAAAATCATTCAGAAACTAAAATGTTGTATTGTTCCTAACAGCCAACCACAAACGACAATTTTGGGGGCAGAAACAATGTCATTAATGTAAAGAAGTCTGACTTTGAAGTGTTTCAAGCTCTGGAGTCTGATGCTACTGCCAGTATTGGTTCTGCTGGCTCGATCAGTAAGTATAGACAACCTTAAGTTATAGACTTCTCCTTTAAGACTTCTTGTATCAATGTGGATCATCAATTAATGGACATCTTAAAGTTGTCTTTATAATACAGATTATTCAGTTCTAGAAAATATCGATAATTCCCCCACAGAAGGGAATGGAATTTCCTGGGGGGTGGGGGATCCTGTAAGACCAAAAAATTTAAAGAAATGTATGAAGCTCAATCAGAATTTCCAGAGGGGTGGGGGGGGNGGGGACTTAGAAAAATTCCCTTCCATGGGGGAGGTACAGTATGGATATTTTCTGGAACTACGCATTGATCAATAATTATGGTTAAGCCCTCCTCCCCCCCTCCCCCCTCAAAAAAAAATAACAATAATTAAACAAAAACTAATAAGAAGAACTTAAAATGAATCAAAAGAAACATGAATATATACAGTTGAACCCACTATAGGGCAATTCCACCATCGCAGATGTTACATTCAGACTCAATTTGAAACTTTAATTTAGCACAGACAAAGGATAAAAAGGAGTTGTCAAGTTTTCCATTTATGAACGTGTTTGTGCCTACTGACATGATAACTGGGCTGTACAATTTTTCCAGTTGACTGATTTCTATTAGAGATATAGACCAAAAAACACTGTCGTGGACGTTACATAAAAAACAACCACAATATTGAGTTCATTAGTATTTATTCAAAATTCCTGTGAAGTGTCAGGGGGTTTTGTATGAACTGTTCCAAATATGTGTAGTTTTGTGGTTGTTTGACCCAAAAAGGCTGATTTTGTTTGAACTGACATTCACAATTTTTCAATGGTACGTGAACTTTAACGTCGCGGACATTACAACCAATGTCGCAGACATTACACTTTCTGAATCATTGCCAAGTATAGGGGACAGATCAGCTTTTCTGTGTGGTTCTCAGTCATACAAGGCAAGATAGGCAAATATTTTATGTTACTATGAATGAAAGTAGTTGACAATTCATGTAAAACTCCTGAAACATCACAGCAAAGTTTGAGGAACACAACATGCTTTCTATATCAAGTATAATCTGCATTTGAGCCTGCTTTTGGCATTCTGAGCCTGGAAACTTATGTTGGTCACCAGAATACATGTAATAACTTCTTTTGCCAGAAAATAGAAAAAACTGGCAGTTTTGTTAAATTTAAGGTTTCTTTACAGAGTTAGCACAACTACTTATTGTGCAGTTCCAGAAAATACCCATACTCCCCCCACAGAAGGGATTGGAATTTCCTGGGGGTGCAGTGTTCTATCAGACCAAAAAATTTAAAGAAATGTATGAAGCTTAACTGGAATTTCCAGAGGGGTGGGGAGGTATTAGAAAAAATCCCTTCCGTGGGGGAGGTATGGATATTTTCTGGAACTACACATTATTGGCCTAGACAAGGGAAAACAAAAAGGTCCACTTTTCAAACATTTTTTTCTACTTCTGTTGTAGTTCCTCACTTAATCAATGGACCATTTGAAATTCCAGAGCAACTAGCTGTAAAAAAACTCTTGAAAGCAATAGAAAACATAAAAGGGTTTAAGAAATGTTAGAAATGTCTATGTTCATTAGAATGGCAGAACCTCTTCTCTTGTTGAAATTTCAGAATAGTTTACAACCCACTTGAAAGCTGCTGTCTTTGGCAAAATGTTTGTTAGATGAAAATAAAGCAAATCTAGAAGGACATATGGTCTTGTGGTGTAGCTGTAATGGTTTAGCTTTTAAGAACCATTTCAAAATGTTTTTACTTAACTTCAAGAAGTGTAACATCCGTGACGTAACGTCCAGAACAATGCTTTGCTGCCATTCGAAAATGTTGTTGTTTGCCAGAGATTTTTTTTTTACCAAAGTGTTTCTATTGGATATCGATCTAGCTGTGTGGCAAGAATGGTTTTAAAATCTTTCATGTAGTTATTTTAGAAAAGAAAACAGATTGTTAAAACATTGCGGACATTACGTAACGTCCGTGACAAAACTTATTTTTGTTATATCTACCTTTAAAAAAAGTTCAGAGTGAAGTTTATGTCACTTGTGTTATTGTATTAACTCCAGTGAGGGACTTTTTCTGATACAAGTATTTGAAGTCCCTTATATTTTCCAAGTTTGATACGGCAAGTTGAAAAATTTTACTTCTTGCTTGTTGTTTGCTGTAAAAAAAAAAAATACTTACTTTGGGGACCCCCCCCCCCCCNCCCCCCCCCCCCTGAAGACATGGTTGTCACGAGGGAGCAGAAATTTATTTTTCTGTGCACTTTAACTTGTTCACAATGTAGAACAGGATGTAATTTCATGTGCAACCTCTTTTCAAAAATCTGGATTTTGACACCACTCATGTGGAATTGCCCTATATCAAAAAAAAAAACAAATACATCAATGTACATGTAGCTCAGGATGGCTGATAGTACAGGACTAAAATGAAGTATATCCACAGGGAAAAGGATATGAGTATGAGATACGTGTCGACAGCAGGGAGTTCGAGATAACAGAGTTCGAGATAACAGAGGTCGAGATAGCGAGGTTTTCTGACCCGTGTAATCTACAGTAATCTATATAGCTTCTGTTTAAAATGTTACTAGAAAGATACCTGAGTGTACAACTTGCTTTGATTTGCCGCCCATTAAAGAGATGCTTTAATTTGCAGTTTGTCATGACTGTTTGCCCAGAGACAGACTTGTGTCAGATCTTCTAATTATTGTTTTACCATGCAGTATTCCTGTACATGCATCTAACATTTATCAGTCACAACATTCCTTCCAAATATAAATTCAAACATATTTTTTAAAAATCCTTTCCAATTATAAGTAAAGAAGTGATGTTACCTACAGTGTACATGTAGTAACATTCTTAGCAAGTCATACGACATTTGTCTAGGAGGGGTTGACTCAGATAAAATTTGTAATTCAATAATGATATAATTCGTTCTTTTAGAATCGATGTCGGGATCACCACCTGGCTCCTATGGGCAGCTCATTCCATCACACCACAACCCTGTTATTGTGCAAGATGGCATGCATGCCAGTGTCCCTCCAGTTCTACCACCACATCTACTTCATGTCATACTCAATAAAGATGTTGTGGATCACAATGACCCATCCCTTCTGCCAGAACCAAACCACGTTTCTCTCAATCACCTCTATGCACTCTCAATAAAGGTAGTTGTTGTTTACAGTAACTGTTGTGTATGTGGTTATGAAAGCAACCAGTCAAGTACATGTGTTTCCATTTTATTTATTAAGTATTCATCGAAAATCTAAGCAGTTCAGATTCAGGAGTCCTAGAATCTGATTGGCTGATTATGCTGAACAGTTTCTCACGAAACAGACCCACGAGTGATGCATTGTTAACGTCTAGAAACTTTGTTGGTTTTGGTTCAACCATGTAGTCTATGTACAGAACTCCTATGGACTCAGGTCGTTAACTCAAGAACCTGGGCAAACTTTTTCTCGATACGGATCTGCCCCTAGGAAATAACACTAATTTTTGCTATTTTATACTGTATGCCTTAAAAGTTTAAACAAAAGAAAATATATGAGGGCAGACTGAGCTACAAATAACAGCTATTGATGGTTGTGCTGTAAATTTTTTTTAAACCTTTGATTTAGCTATGTTTTTTTCATGATGGTGTCAGTTTTTTATTTAGTGTAATTTATCATTATTGTATATTATTTTTTTCAGTTTTGATAATTTAACAAGTTACGCCAATACTTTCTACTCTAAGTTACAGAGATTCCAACCCTCCTGATTTGATCGGGAGACTCCTGATCTGATGTGTTGCCTCCCGCTCTCCCGATTCTTATCAAATTCTCCCGATTTATAACAAAATTGTGAAAACAAGGGAAAAAATGCTAATCTTAAGTATTTTTTGCGATGTATTACACTTTCTTCTCGTATCATCTCACCCAGTCTCTTGCCGCATGTTGTGCAGACTCATCAGGCCAGCAGTCTTACTCCATTTAGCGGCTCCAAAATGCAGGAAAAGGCATTTGAGAAAACCTAAATTTTCAAAATTTCCCGGTGAGCATGCCCCTGAACCCCCCTAGAGGCTGCTGCCTACGGCGCTAAAAGAGTCTCCCTATTTTCTTTCAAAAGGGGTTGGAATCTCTGAAGTTACGTTATCCAAATTATATCTTACTCACTATTAAGGAGACTGTATTCTTTCTTTTCCAGGATGGAGTTATGACATTAAGTGGGACACATCGCTTTAGGGAGAAATATGTCTCAACGCTGCTATACAAACCAATCAAATAAAAACATTTTGCTTTATGTAAAAAGCTGTCTTAATGCAGTGTAGCATGATCGATCAAGGTGGTTGGATTGTCTTCATGGATCAGATGAGTTGAAGGACTTACGGCAGGAATTCGGCAGAAAAGTTATTTGACATTGGCGAGGAAAGTAAATATGCACTGTTTGAAAATGCCTGGTTTGCAATCCCAGGTTTGAGTTGAGTAGTTCGTTGTCTAGGGATTGTGTAAATCACATAAGAACTACAGTATTTGTTGTTACATTATTGAGGAATGAGGGGAAAATTCAAATTTACAGCCTACATACATGTGCATCCAGGCAGTCTTCAGCTAATACTGGGAGACCTCCAAGCTAGTTGCTTTTTACAAAAATGTGGAAGCAACAACAAGTCGCTTTTTGAAAAAAATAGATTTTCAACTCTATTTTCAGCCATAGTTGTGGCAACATACTGTTGTATAAGGTGATTTTTTAAATATTATCATTAAATAATGTAGACCTTGTTCCTCGAGTCTTTGTTCCTTACTGTGCAAACATGACAAAACATCTGGCTCTCAAATATTGTTACTGGCTAGCTCGATTTTGATTGATTTCAAAAACAATAGAAATGAGCAGAAGTAGAACACTGGGGACTTGAGCCATTCAGCTGCGGGTGTGTCACCTACGCATGCCGAATTCCACCAGAAGTCTGATATCTTCAGCCAGGTTGCTCGTCTGCATACTGCTGGTCAAGGGGAACAAAGACTCTGAGAGAGTAAAAAGTTGACAGTGTTTTCATATTGAACTTGGTTATCGCAGGTTAAATAATGATGTACTCATGACTGAAAAATCACGATATTAATAGCTAAATAAATGCTAATAACAAGAAGCAATGTCAACAAAAGGCAGCAATATTGTAGATCATACTTTGAATTGTTGTTCCTACATGAATTCTCCAACAAAATGGCACCACAATATTATGTCAGGGCGTCATGATACAGATTTGAATTTAAGAACATAAACTATGTTTATTTTGTATTTAGAGCACCTGTGCTCAGGACCAATAATTATCAGAAGATACCTTGATCTACGCTTCTAGAAGATAACTTACACAGTCTCTAAACTTGTTCGTATTGTGTCGCTGATTTAACTTTTTTGTTCTTACTTGCATTATGCCTGCAATGCAATTAGTCGCAATTGTGGTAAAAACATTACTGGCACAGCCTTCTGGTGTTGGTAGGCATTTTTGAGAGCTATTTGTACCTAGTGGCAACAGTAGCTCTCACTAGGACTGTTTTTACAGAGGGTTAGCCATAATAAAGTCTTGTTGTCCAAAGGACAACCACCAAAACAGCGGGAATTGCATACATGTAATAATATTGTAACACCATATTTTTTTCTTTTTTACTTGGCACTAGAATTACTTTGAATAATACGTTTTATTACACTAACCACTACAATACTTTAATAATTATTATAGTCTTATTATCCCTAGAACTCTCTGCAACACATCCTGTTGCCACCATTAAACCAATGGTCTTTGAGCAGAGATCATAGACCACCCCAGACACAAGTTTATTTCAGAATGATTCATTTAGCTTCAAGTGAGGGACAATTCTGAATGTTCCTGTCCATAAAATAATATAGGCTGTATTGAAGGTGCAAATGGCTGCAACCACAGAATACCTGAGAAAGTTAAGTCACAATTTCCTGCTAACTTGGGATACATAGAGGTTAATCAGGGGAACTGAAAGTTATGAAAAAACCATTTTGTGATTCATATGACACTGTGAACATGGAAGAGAATGAATGCATTGACAAATCAAAACACCTTGTTTAGGGAAGAGACATCGGGGGCATCATATAGGAAAGAAACCAGATGATTGTTTTAACTGTTAGGGTTACATAATTGGTACCACTCTGTGTGGTGTCTGGTAACTTTCCTATCACGTGTGAAATATCCCTTGGAAAGTGAAAATGGGACTTTTTAGGGTTCCTCTCAAAACTCACTGACAGTTATTGCACCTGTCACTTTTACACTGGAGTCTCCGCTCCCCCTGCCAGACAAAATAGTACACAACAGCACATGCATGACATAACAACCATTTATATATGGGCCTCATTCTTGGTCCCACAAAATAATAACCTCTTACTTACCAAGTGCAAGGGCTGTACTGGGCACTTTTGGTCTGAGGTCGTGACAGTACAGACCAAGCACAGCAAGGTCTATACAATAATGCCCAAGGGCCAATATTGTCCAGTAAGCTCGAGCAAGCTACATGGGTTAGTGAGTAGTTTATAACACGCATATGGCACTAAATTCTGAATTTTTCCACTTTTCAAAAACAAAAATACATGTACACAGCCTGCAACAATTTGTTCCCTATGGCAAAATCCATACTGAGAATGAACCAATCAGAATGCTTGAAATAACCTCACGACTACCATGCCATATAATTAAGTGTGTTACAGAAAACATTTCTAGATTTCGGATTAAAATAGATTCAATTAAAATTAAAAAGTTTATTTAGTAGCACAAGGAACTGCAGGCAAAATAAACTAAAGGGGTGATACGGAAATATATTGCTTACAATGTGTATAGCCACTGAATAACCTCTAAATAATACTGACTATGTATATCAGCTGGAGTATCAGTAAATCGACTTGCGCAGATTGTTGTCCAGATAGGCAGGGTATTCTGTGGATTTGAGTGGGCAATCATTGCCCATCGTGTAACATCCTTCTTTTTCAGCACTGTAATATTGCCCTTCCTATTGCGTCGAACTTTCGTGATGCAAGCTTTGAACAGTAGAACTAAGAGTTTCCAAGTTCTTCATTAATTTCTCCAGATTTCCTCCGCTTCTTGTTTCTTCCTCCTCCCCAAATCCCTCAGTCATGTTGTCAAGTTCAAAATGCAATTGTGCCAAACGTTCTTGAAGCTCACGAACTTTATCCATCTTTTCAATAGTGCAGTCCTTTCCAAACGCGTGAAGCTTTCCGTGATTGAAGTCGTGCATGAGATCTAACAATCCTTTCTCCATTTGTTTCACGTCTGTTCTGTCAGTCAGAAAAGAATGTTCTTGAATTTTCGGAGTAGCTTTCACCTGCGATCTCTCAGTTTCCTTTACGTCCCTCGATCTGCTCTTACTGCTACCTTGGTTTTCCATATTCTTGGCCATTCCTTTCCTACAAAAATGCTGTACAGTTGTTATTGTTTCGATCTTTTGTGTTCAACAAGCTTCAACTCTCAACACAGCCGCCATTTTGAATATTCCCATAGTGCTCTTCGCTCGCAGTATCAGCCATGATTTGATGTGCGCATGCACCCCAATCATTCTCCTTCCATCAAGATTAATCATCGTCCAGCGATGAAGTAAGTCTAGTTAAAATCCTCTTGCATCCAGACGCAATCCTCTATAGATAAATGTTTACGAGCAATAGACTACTAGATCGGCCCCTTAAGTTTCACTCTGCGGGGCTTTATAAACAGTAGGACACTAAACTACAGTGAAATTTTACTTGTTGTAGAAGTGCCTCAGCAAGGTGATTTCTGTTAGGAAAATGAATTCTTTCGTACAAGCCTTCGTTATGGTTAATTTATTTATCATAGGAGCAATTCATGTGGCAAAGCTTCTTTGTTAAATAAATCCTAAACGTGCTATTTTTTGAAGGCTCGAGTTGTGTAACTACAGTGGGTACAAAATCTATCCTGGCCATGGCAAGAGGTACTGTCGGTTGGATGGAAAGGTATGTTTTGTTAGTTGCATTTGCCGTGGAGTCACATATTAAAGGCTATTTCTTCAGAAACGTGTAATTTGGATTCAGTCATAGTACGTTTCCAAGACATTGAAATTGAAAGTGTACTCTGGTTTTATTTGGTTATAATTTGGTTGTAGCGGAGCTCAAACAAAATCAAACTGATGGAATTTGATGGTTTGACTGAATATGATAATCAGACTCGCCAAAAAAATGGAGTTTGATTGTATCTGATTGCCGATCCAATCAACTGAGTTTGACTTATTTTTTATTTGGCTTGGTTTAATTGATTAAGTCAGGAATACATGTATGTACTGGATATATAGACGGATGTTTAATATTTGAACTTCTCTTTTGTGAAATTTGTAACTTGTAACTTGCATACTTAAGAATGTTCTCCTGAATCTTTAGGTCTTCAACTTCCTTAACAAGAAATGTGAGAGGGCCTTGCTAATGCACCGCAACCCACGAAAGATCACGTGGACTGTTTTGTATCGCCGAAAGCACAAAAAGGGCACCACTGAGGAAGTCACCAAAAAACGAACAAGGCGCAACATTAAGTTCCAGCGTTCAGTTCAGGGGGCTACTCTAGAGAACATCCTAGCCAAACGAAACCAAAAGCCTGAAGTAAGAAAAGCCCAGCGGGAACAAGCTATCAGGTTGGTGTGCAACTTAATCTGGAAATCTGTATCTCCCTTTAGTACCAGGAAGCAGGTCAAGGCAATCTCACTTTAAGGCATTTCACATGTTTGGAATGCATGTATTGAATATGACGTACATGGCTACTGTATACTTGTACATGTATTTCACACCCAAGAAACTACAAGACCAGTGAATTCCTTTGTTGATTTTGTATTGGGAAATTTCTTCTTTGCCAATATGAGCTAGCCCCAAGATTCCTTTCCTTCACATGGATAAGTGATGTTTTCAAATCACCCTTTGGCCCTGCTAATTATTTTCTGGTATCCTGCTGTTCACATTTTAAATTTTGCTTAAATTATGGTAGTGAGATAAATGGGGGTGACAGGCACTGTTCAAGACCTTCCGGCTTTCTTTTTTAATTTTTACCTTTTGACCTGTTAAGCTGTGTTCTTGTCCCTGAATGGCACTGGGGTTAAGTAAAAAAAAAATCACTGTCATTAATGTAAAAAAAGAAAGTTTGAGTAACAGTACAGGTCTTAACTTGTAGGCTGCACTTAGTATGCAACATTGTTGTCCAGTCATTTTCAGTGATGATTTTATTTACACCTACATTGTTTGAGGTGCTCATGGAGTATCCCTGATTGGAACTTATTTCTGAGAAAACTGTTCTGGACCAGNGGGGCATGCCCCCAGACCCCCCTTGATGCTCAGGCCCTTTCGGGCCTTCGGAACGTGGCCGTCGGCCACGAATTTCACCGCTACGGGTGATAACTTACATGCAACGGCTGCTTCAAAACTTAATGACAGCCCTGGCCTATCACTAAAAGTTTTGATAGATTCCTTTTGTAGTGCGCTGGACGAAATAACTCCAATGCATGTCTTTTGAGACCCGGAGGACACGCGAAAACACAAGAGCGTGAAATGTGATTCTACTAAAAAGCAACTTGCACTTAGAACCACGAGAGCTGACTGATCTGCAAATTACTAAAGGCATTTGTCGTCTCAAACGAGGTCGCCTTCTACATCCTGAATCAATTAAATTTCAAGAAAACCAGGCAATATGTATTCTGTGTAAGCCAAAGATTGGCATATTGTTATGTCGATATTGGCCGCTGGAAAACCGAGTGATGGAATTGCTCCCCACTAACAAACCATTTAGGCAAACTGCCTCGGTCTTAAAAGTCTCAAAGTTCGGGAAAAAGAAGGCTTAGAAAGCAAACAATTCTCGAAAAAGGAGAAAAAAAATCTGTAAGATCGACAGCAATAAGGGAAAACTTTATCCGAAACATCAACAACATAACAGAAAACTACAAACAGAGTGTCCTCCTGGGCGAGAAGACAAGGAAGCGACGATTTTTGGCATCTCATAAAGGATCTTGAAAGGATTTGGAAAACTGCGAGATGTCACTTGCTTAGATACTAGCTCCAGATCGTCAGTAGATCACTTTGAGTGTGTTTGTGCGTTGCCAGACTCAAACAAATAAGCCGACATCTCATTTATTAACACCCCGGAGGCTTTACAACTTTCCACCAGTCAGTAGGATAGATGTACTTCAAAATCTCTTTTCCACCCCTGGGCGCTGAAATGCTAAAAAAGCCAAATTGAATCTTAGGTAGTGGTTGTTCAATAAGCTTAGCTGGAAATGTGTGAAAATTATTGTACTGAAAATATAACAGCCATGTTGCCCAGCCAAGTCTCTTCATCCATTTTCCTGATCTGTTAAAAACCACCAGATCGACGGAAAACTCAGAGTTTCCATCGTGAATCTTAATTAGGCCATCTCGGGGCCTAAAATCATCTATTTGTTTGGCGCTAACAGATTTAAGTTTTTCAATGAATGCAGTTTTGCTGAGCGTCTTTAATGTGCCATCTCCGTCCAAACCGATGTCGACGTCGTCGTCCCAGGCAAGAGGAGCGTGGCCACGAAGGGCTCCCAGGAGTGAGCCGTACATGAGCCAATGCTCTACTCTCAGCTCGTCCAAAACCTGATGAACTTTGTAAGACAGGCTAAGAAGTTGATCCATTTGTAGGTTGGTGAGGTTTCTGCATTTCATGATTGGATTAAATGGATGACGGCCTGTATATCGAGCGAAGGTTTGCGTGCTAATCAAGTAGTAGATGATCGATACCACTGTTATGATGTTCAGTAGGATAAACAGGTTGAGAATTTTTCGAAAGGAGTAGATATTCGGTGAGATCCTTCGTGGGCAGAAGTATCTCTTCATGGTGAACTCTCCACCTATTTAAAAACATAAAGATTACATTAAAAGTCTATGTTCAGCCATTACTTTTGAGATACGTAATTGTACAACAACTCATATTGGGCTTTAATTGGATCACGATGTGAAATAATGGAATCAAAGATCAAGTAGCTTGAAGTTCAATACTCTTAAAGAAATAAAGAGACCGCAAGAACAATAAGACTAATACAGTTCCAGATAAAATAGCTCACTTGAGGAAAATAGAGAAACTAGCAAAAACATTTCTCAAGATTATTACTGATTCAGCCAGTTTAAATGTTTGGATGTCGGCTTAATCAGCAAAGATTTTTACGATTTTATTTTCCCGTTTTCGCCGTTTCAACTGGGAACATATATCAAGTAAAATTAAAGTAAGTAAAGTAAAACCTTTATTTAAGGGTCTATGTGTTTAGCCTAGATAGACTAATTGGGGGCAGTAGTAAAATAGCAACACTAATTGACATACGGTACTTTTAAAATCTAAATATTTACAGGAAAATGACAAAAACTTAATGAGTATGAGAGATCCTATGTGAGCTTATGTACAAGATAAAAACGCTTAAGGAAGTGCTTCGAAATTACACTTTTTTTAATAGGGTGCATAATTACAGTCAGGAAGACTGTAGTCTCCCTCATGGCCTCATTAGCACATTTCCGACAACCTCCAAAATTTTGACAAATACTCTGTTCGGCGTCATGATTTCAACTATCTTCTCGGAGTTTGAAATGTGGTAAAAACGGATCTTTCGTGTTACACTACTCTCGTTGTCACACAGAAAAAACAGACTGAACTTGCACAACTAAAGCCTTCCTACCCAAAAGGCACTTGTGTCACCCATGCATGCCACAATTAGTAGAATTCTACTAGTATACTAATGCAAATGTTGAAATCTGATTGGCTGAGCTACTCGTATAATATAAGCCATTTGAGTGCAGTGGACAAAGAGGTCTTCCGCACAGTGTGAACGTTTTCTAGTTTCTCTAAGGTTTCGAAGAAGATTTAGAAATATCACTGGGTAATTTAACTCGCAAGAACCGTAAAAAAGGAAACTGACCGTTGTGGGACTTTAAAACCTCACAATTTTTCAATAAACCAGTCAGCGCAGGTGCACAAATACAAGTTTCAAATAACAATTCAATCCGCGGTTCTTTGCTAAAGGATGAAGTTTAATACTGCATTGAGAAATGATTGGAGTATCCTTACTTGAAGGAATTTCAGTAATGATTCTACAAAAACAATTAGATTATTCGCTGTCGATTTCTATGACGTGATAGTTGATTCGGCCTTCGACCTCATCAACAATCACCCATAGAAATTTCGAGCTCATAATCTAATTGTTAAGTGTAATACCACCAATGTAATTGACTAACGAGAAATGTGATAAACTTCTAACCACGAAGTTAATAAACTATCTTTAGTAAGTGCAGTAACAAGCACGAATACGATATCAGCTAGGAATGTAATATATCATCACTTAATCTTTGCGCGGCAATTTTGCCTCTTAACCTAAAATACATAAGATCCTTTATCGGCCCAAATTTTCCTCGTTAGAGACTTAGATAGGTCAATTGGACAGAGTTATGGAGAAAAAAGAAGTTTTGAAAAAAAAAAAAAAATGTCAGGTAAAGTAAAGTAAAATCCTTTACCTAAAACACGATTATCCTTTAAGCACTACATGCTTGAGGGGTCATGTATCTAATTATCTAATTATCTAATTACCTACTGATAAAATGAATGAAATATAAGAAATTAACCTACTTTATTGCAAATCTGATTTCCCTATCTTTTATCACAACTCTAATTACTAGATAGCCGAACGCATTGAGATATAAAAATTGGGATTTGGATTCCGGAGCGGTTCGGCTTCGAAACCTTGTTGGGTTCATTTTGTTGTGTTCTTGGGCAAGACAATTGAGTCTCACAGTGCCACTCCCTAATCGAGAATATAAATAGATACCGCTGAACTGTTGGGGCAACCTGAGAGAATACTGGGAATTGACCTGCGATGGACCAACAACACATCCAGGCGCTTCTTGCTACAGAAATCGGTGTTTTAAAGCGCCGAGAGCTATGAACCAGTCGAGCTTCAAAGTCTTTACTGATATTACCCGGCCAGNTTCCCCGCTCATGCATTGTTGCTTTAGAGCGAATGTGTGCAAATCATCTTGATCCGTCTTGGATCAGTTTTGTAGCAAACCAATATGGACAATATTAAGCCGGGAACTGGTCCATGCTTAGCGTTTGTTTATCGAGTTATGGGTACACGCGGGACGTTTGCCGAGTGGAGAGCACGAGAGAAGTGGCGACCATAGACAGAAAAGAATAATTTCTGCGGCAATGTCCATGGTTAACTTCCCTTCCTAGCTATTAATGGTGTTATTGGTGACTATAAACAACAAAAACAGAAAATAATGGTTTGTCTGTTACTATCTACGGCCCTGAGCGTAAGAGTCGGTCGAGGCGGAGCCGAGAGCAACTGTAGCTTCTTGAGTGCTCTCCAAACTTGCCAAGTTTATCCACAACTCGATTTATGCGCAGCTAAAAGCATGAACCAATTCATTTGTTAAGCACATGTCTTTTCCTAGCTAGAATCTCAGTTATCAATTCAATTTTAAGCAGTTTCTCAGCTATCGTTACAATGTCAGCTCTTTTCGCAGGTGTTAGTTGCCTCCATTTTGGATATAAAAGTTTTAACTATGAAAGTGAATATATGAAACATCATATTCTTGAACTGCGGGATAGAGATTGAAAGACATGAGAGATCTTCGCCGGAGTCATGTACACAAGTACGACGTTGCGAAAAGATAGCCTAAAAAAGTTCCACGATACTGATGTAGTGCCCTACCATGCAGCTGAGCTATCAAGACAACTGGGAACTGGTCAGGTTTTGAGTTTGTACAATATACCCGTGGGGACGAGCCAATAAAGTATGTTATGTATGTATGTATATACCCGTAAATCGCCATGGTCAAATATGAAGTAGGTAAGAACTTTAAAATTGATTTGCATTGTAATTAGAATCTATCGCAGGCAACTCAGATACATCTTGGCCAGTGAACGAAAGTTAGTTTTACATTAAACGAGCAGTGAGGCCAAATAGACACTCCAGAAGTGATTTATTATGGCCATAATATGGCAATTTAGACAAAACGTGTTAAATTTGAGAAGAAAAATGTACACAGTTGACCAACTAATTCCTCGATCACATTTTAAATTAGTGCACTTAAATTTAGACAGTTTGTCGCTGAAACGACTGTCCTCTATTCGAATTTCTGATCTCCCCTGTTTGCAGAGATGGAACCCCCTCTAAGCTTCAATTTTTCTTTTTTTTTCGATAATGATATCATGACCAATATATTAACCAGTGTAAAAGTGTGTGGAACTGATGAGAACATTTTGGACATGTAAGTTGTAAAATATTACTTTACAGGTTAAAGAATCTCTCTTGCTAAACAACGAACAGGTACTTAGTGAAAGGAGCATGAGGAAATTGTGACGAGGTTACGTTCACACAAGCCAAGCAGCGCTCTCCAGAGTTAAACTCCCCAAAGTTTTGAGAGCGTTTCCTTCTCAGTACACTTTGAGTCTCCGCTCGACCGAAACTGTACAGGAACATGAACAAGCTAGTTAATAGTTATCCAACTACATGTCGAAGCAACTTGTTCATCAGTCTACCACCAAAACAGACAACAACATGACGGAACCTGTTTTTCAATCAGCCGAGTTTGAGATCTCTATTTCTTTGATTCCCTTTGAGGTTGCTCTGGAATATTGATGCAGGGAAACATAGCTGCCAACAAAGCAAACAAGACGATAGATGAAATTATATCTTCGGCTATGACGTCATGTAGCAATGCTTGTTCTATTTAGCTGATCGTGATTAGTTTCTTCATGAGGTTAGCTATTGAAATTTAGAAAATGTTAGCAACGTAAAATAAGGATTGGCAGCTAGTGGGAATGGGACAAATGACATTCGTGCGACATAGTTTGTGAGAACGCAATTCTTGTTGCGTTCATGAGCACAAGTGCTTTTCGCATCGTCGAGGCCGCGTGCGTCCTAGAACTACATCAGGTTATTAGCTGTTTATTTAATGACCTAGTTACTAACAAAAACTTGGTTTCTGGGTAACGCGCTGCGTAATGGAAGTTGCCCGTCAAGCCTCATTAGACTAATCACCGGCTTTTCGAATTTCTACTCGTTGCTCGGTCGATCTGAAAACCCTAATCTTATGATTCATTCGATAGCAATTCATACAATATGCTATACGCGATCAACAAGTTATTGTGAATTTGACTTGAGATGGGTAACTCTTGTAGAATCTAGCACCTCAAAAATGCACTGTACATGTTAGCTCCTCAAGCTCGTTGGCAAAAAATTGCTGACTTCAGGGCTATAGGGAACGTAGAATTCAGGTTGGAAATGTTCCATTGCCAGTGAGGTAAGACATCAATCAATCAATAAATCAATCAATCAATCAATCAATCAATCAATCAACCAATCAATCAATCAACCGATCGATCAATCAATTAATCAACCAACCAAAAACTTTATTTTACTTCGAATTTCCTGATAGCAAAAACATGCTAGTATCTCCGAAGAAAATAAATTCATGAAGTTAAAAACTAAGAAATACACATAATAGATAAATTCATCAAAATTGGTTAACAAATAATTTAGGAAATAGATAAGAATAAACAAGTACAAATGTGCAAAATATACATGAGAAATTAACCGGCCACATTAAAGACTAGTATTTATCACAAAATGAACAGCATTCCTTGTCCAAATCTAAAGTTTTTAGTGCAGCTTTAAAGCAATAAGAGATGTAAATACACGAACACTATCCGGGGATGAGTTCCATAGTTTGCTAGCACAACAACGAAATGAGTGTATGAGGTGACTACCTGCATAAAATAAAACATAATCCACAAAGTGAAGAATCGATGTTGTTCTGCTAGTCATGCCCGGGTATGGATAAGTTCTGCCGGCCAGAGTTC